CCAGGCCCGCCGCACCACCGGTGAGGGCGAGCGAGCGAACGACTGAGCAGGCGGGGGCGGGCCGGGGGCCGCCCATTCCGGCCTTCAATGCCTCAGAATGCAAGTACGTGGCGTCCTGCCGGCCGTTGGTGTTCCGTCGCTTGCGGTTGCTTCCTCGGCCCCTTTCTTCCGGTCCGGGCTTCCTGGCGTCCGAGCCCCGGTGCAGCGGCAGATCTCCGCCGAGTCCGCCGGCAGCCCACTCCAAGGGCCGCCGGGGGCGTGTGATGTGGGGGAGGGTGCGCTCGCGGGAGCGCGCGTCCCCGCCCCTGCTTCGTCGACCGGCGCCGTGCACCACGCTCCTGCACACGCGCGCGCGCGCGCGCGCGTGCGTGTGTGTGCCCCGACCCTTGACCTGCCCCCCCCCCCCCCCCCCCCTGTGTGCGTTTCCGCTCTCCCAGGGGGGCCCCGGACCGCGTGGCGGCCGGTTGTCAGCCTAGGGCCGGAGATAGGCCGGCACCGAGCTGGCTCCCCCTGGCCGTGGCGGTTCCCGCCCCACCCCCTCCCCCAACGGCCGCGGCGGAAATCGGGCCAGCCATTCGCGAATCGGGCCTCCGAGAGGCGGCCCCTGTTTGGTACGCCCAGGAACTCATAATAGACCCGCCGCATTCTCCCCTCCCCCCGCCCCTGCCCCTCCCAAGTCACCCGGCTGCATCCCCCTCCCTGATCGCCCGAGTTCCGGGAGGTTGCTCGCCCCCGCGCTCGTTATTTTTCCGGCGTCCTAGAGGGGATTGATGCTCGTGTGCTTGGCCCTCGGTGTGTGTGGTATAGCGCTTCATGCATGCGGGTGCGGGCAAACATGCCCACAGACTCCAGGGCTCTCGGTGTCGTGGTGCGTGCCGCGCCCACGCGATCTTGCTTACGCCCCCCCTTCTAGGCGGGGGAAGAAGAAGGACGTGGATCCCTCAACAGGATGACATGCCCCACGCCGACGCCCCAATCCCCCAGACGTCCACCCCCATGGAAGGAACATGCCCACCTGGGGTACCCTAGTATGAGTGCTGTCGACCGAGTGATGATGCGCCCAGCCTCGCTTGTCTTTGATGCGCCCCCCCCCCCCCGCCCGCCGCCCTCCTCCGGTCCGGCGCGTGGTCGTCCAGTGGCGTCGGCTCAAGCGTGACGGGTAGCCACCAAGAGAAGCGCCTCCTTGGCGGTTGGGCGGCGCTCTCGCTGGCGGTACGGAAGCGAAGAATGGCCCGGTGGACGCTCTGCGCCGGGGCTCCGCCTGCGCGTGTCGCTGCGAGGGAAGACCCCACCCTTTTGGCGGATTTCCCTCGCCCGCCCCGCCCATTGGATTGCTTATCGTGAGGTTTTCGCCACGTCGCTAGTCACCTCCCCTTGACTCGCACGGTCCCTGGAGTCGGAAGAGGGGCTGCATTCCAACAGCCGCCTTGTCCCCCTCCACTGCCCCCCCCCCCCCTGCCCCACCGCGACCGAGCTCCGGAGTTACTGGCCTTCCGAGGCAGCAGCCTGGCACTCTCCGTTGTCCCTTTTCCTCCCTCCTGCGCTTGCCCTTGGGCACACTGTTCCAGGCGGGAGGGGGGGGGGGGCAAGAGACACCACCGTGTAATGCCGCGCTGTCCCATCAAAAGGGGAACACCGGAGAAGGCCCCAGCGCGCCCTTGCCCGGGGGAGGGAGGAGGTCCTGGCGCTGGCGAAAACACACCCAATGCCGAAGCACAAATACCTTTTTACCTGTCCAAAAAATGCGCCCAACGGCCGGACCAACCGGAGGCATCGCTCACCGAGACACGTTACCTACGGTCTCGGCCACAGGATCCCCGCGATATAACTCAAACGTCTCGATTAACATGGCCGCCAGTCTGGGCCGGCCTGCGATGCTTTGTCCGCCGCCTCGCACTCGCGGGGACCCCCCATGCGACCGATCATTGGGCCTGACCGCCGAGCCGTGGTCCCTCTTGCCCCCTTCTTTCCTCCTCTCCCCCTCTCTTGGGTAGATGGACGAGCCTTCTATGATGTACATATGCTCATTCCAGCATGAGGAAGGGTCACTGTGTATTAATAAGCCTGCCTTGGCACAGGGAGAGCCAAGGAAGCAGTGGTATCGGTCAGGCGGTACCGAAATGCGCGGTATGTCCATACTCAATCATACAACACATCCGGAGGTCGAGGCATGCCGACACTGGGAAACGCACGCAGCCTGAGCAAGTGTTTGTGGGCAAAGGAGGGAGGCGGGGGGGGGGAGGGAATGCAGGGGCAGGGGGCAGGCGAGAACATGGGCCACAATACTGTGGCCTACCCAAACCGAATGCCCCCGCGACCTGCGGCTCCACCCTGCGACCCGAGCAGCTGGGAGCCATCCAGCGTGAAGAAGTACCCAAGGGAGTGGCCTACTGCCTGGCTGACCTCCCGGCGCAGACTCTCCGACCCGGGGACCCAGCTCATGCCGATCAGGGCCTGCTGCAGATCCCCGGCCTCGAGCTCCGCATGTGCCAGGGTCATGTCCGCTGGGTGGGCCTTGGCCAGCTGGCCGGGCGGTTCGTCCGTGAAGATGTCCGGCACGGCCGAGGGCCGGCCCTCGGCCGGCCCAAGCTCGGCCCTCACGCGCGCCAGCAATCCACACACGCGCTCCTCATAGCTCTGCTCATGAGGGCTGCCACTCGCCGAGTCGGTGGGGCTGCCACTGGGCGCCAGTCGCAGGGACGATCCACTGGCCTGGGCAAGGTGCTGCAGGATGATCTCATTGGATGGCCTGCGGAAACTGACGTTCAGGTTCAGGTTCACCATGTATGCGTCGTTCTTCCGAGCGTCCATCCGCTCGACCAGCATCTGCTTCACCTCCAGCAAGGTATGCATGCCAGTCTGTGAGGGTCATGGTGGGTGGTCATTCGGCCGAAGGGGAAAAGTGCACAGACCGAGGGGCAGAGAGAGGGAGGGAGGGAGGGAGAGAGAGAGAGAACAGGCGTGTGTGCGTGAGAGACAAGTGGGTCAGGAAAATGGCGTTAGTCGTGTGTAAGCAGACCGCCCTTCGCCTCCCGCCATGATAGTAGCCGGGACAATAGGAGGGCCAGGGAGGCGCAACGGCGAGGAACAGCGGGAGTCAAAGTCGCACCACATCCACCAGGAAGGGAGTGGCCAGGTGGCCCTGCTGCAGGCGCAGCACCAGCACCATTGTCTGGTAAAGCTCCTGCGGCCGAGCCGGCGGGACATACAGACCTGCCGGGGCGCTTGGGGTTGGCGGCATCAGCTGCATATCGCATGGGTGTTAGCGTGCATGCGCGTGCGTGTGTAGGGGAGGAAGGGAGGGGGGCGGGGAGGGGCGCTGGTGACCAAGACACATGGTGGGAGGAGCACTGGTGCCGGCATGATGCGCTCAGCGGAAGGCATGGGCTGGCGATGGCCACCCGGAGCTAATGCGCACCTGGATGCTCAGCTGCGGCGGGGGAACCCCGGATGACAAATCCATCGGCCCACACAGAATCCCGAAGAAGAAAACATCGAAAATGAAGAACGGCACCACCCGGAAGCGAGATAGGATGTCACCCGGCGGCGCCAGGAAGTCCGTCACCGGGAGCCCCGGCGAATGGACAGCCTGGGCCGCGCGTCGAAGCCCGTCACCGGCGGACTCCAGCACCAGATGTACCAGGTTGTCCGGCGTGATGGGGCCCAAATCCTCCGGCAGGTAAACCGTCACGCTGAGGCTCTGGAAGCGCGAGTCCACCAGAATACACGTGAATGGCCGCACCCGCCCCCGGAGCTCCCGCACCGAGTGGCTGTAGCGCATGGCGAAGCAGTGGTTGTTCTTGATCGTAGACAGCAGGGCGTGCGGGTCTTGTGTGTAGTCCGGCGTTTGGGCATGCGCGGGGATGTCCATGAAATACCTGATGTAGATCTGTCCACGAAATGGCACGGAGAGGGGTAACACGGGTAAGTCGCAGCGCAGGCCTCGAGAGGCGTCTCAGCTGGAGGTCAGCAGAAGGGGAGCGGGTAGCCGGAGCACGCACATGGCCAGGGCTGGTCACGTCATTGGGGAGGACCCGAGACCGAGCACGAACAATGGCCTGACGGAGTCGGTCGAGAGTCAGGGTGCCCTGATGCAGGCCGGCGACCAGAATGAGCCCAGACTGTTCGCCATAGAAGCCCACTGTCGAGGATTGCTCCATGAATCGCAGGAGCAAGAAGTCGTCAAACGTGTCGTAGTCCTGGTCGCCCTGTGTGTGTGTGTGTGTGTGAGAGAGAGTGTGTACAGGAAGGAGAGGGAGCGGGTGAACGGCAGAAAGGGGGAGTCGGTCAGCCAGTGCCAAGGACAGGGGGGAGGGGGGAGGGGGGAGGGGGAGGAGGTGGTATTGCCACCAAGCACCAAGCTGCCTCACGCGCTCGCACCTCGACACAGATAATGTGAGCCAGCTCTAGAGGGATGTAATCGTGGTCAAAGAGCTGCTGGGGATCGATAAGCTCGGCATCACCATTGTCGAAAGATAGGAAGAAGCGCTAAGCCAGGAACGGGATGGGAGAAGGGGAGATGTCAATCACCACAGGGACAATGAGGGCACGCGGGAGCGGCGTCCATCCGTCCATCAAGTCCATCCATCCATCCATCTATCTGTCTTTGCACGTACGCAAGTGGGCGACCGACCGAGGCTGGCCAGTGAGAAGGTGTCTCGGTGGACCATCAGCCGCTGGACCGGGAGCAGGATGTCGCTTTCCGGACAAAGATCTGTATACCGTCACAGGGTCAGTGGGACTCGCCGAGGATTGCAAGTGCCCTGAGGGGTTTGCCAAATACGCACCCCACAGCATGACAAAAATATAGTGGTCGCCGAATTGGTAATCCCCAAGATCGATGTACTTCTCAGAGGAGAACGGCGTTTCCAGAGTGGTCTACTCGGACATGCCCCCGCCAGCCGGCCAGAGGAGGGAGGAGGGATCCCGGGCAGTGTTAGACGAGTGAGAGGTTCAGAGGAGAAAGGAGGCGGAAGGGGGCGGAAGGAGGCGAAAGGAGGCGAAAGGAGGCGAAAGGAGGCGAAGGGAGGCGAAAGGAGGCGAAGGGAGGCGAAAGGAGGCGAAAGGAGGCGAAAGGAGGCGAAAGGAGGCGAAAGGAGGACGAGGAGGAGGAGGAGGAGGAGGAGGAGAGAGAGGCTCGCAGGTCATGGTGTGGGGCACGTGTACCTTCTTCCAGTCAACCACCGACCGCAGGTCGGAAAACCGCTGGAACTCCGGCTCCAGAGTGATGTAGCCGCTTCGAACTGGGTGTGGCATGGGATGTGTGTCAGGGAACGTGGCAAAAGGGGCCATGAAAAAGGTTGGGCCAGGTGTGGCGGGAGATCCCGTCACTGGGACACTAGACACTAGTGGAGAAGACAAGTTTGGCCAAGAGTCTCCCCGGGTCCAGGCGACCGGGAACCAAGAGTGCACAGCACAGAGCATGTCCACACACACAAACGCAGGACCAAAAGGAGGAAGTCATGGAGCGGGGGCCACACCGAAAAGAAACACCACTTGCCTTGCCTCAAGGAGACATGAGCAATAGGTACTCCCGGGCAGAACAGTGGGAGGGTTACGCAGGAAATTGGCACATGGACAGACGGATCTCAAGGCTGGGGGGTTGTCTCTTGGCAGCAAGTGGGAAAGGAGGGCAGAGTGCGCCAGGACAGAAACATGTGGAGAGGTGTTCCTCCGCATAGGCGGGTGCTGAGGCACGGGGAAGCACCAGAAACAGAGACAGAGGGAAAAAAAGGGGGGGGGGGAAAGCACAGGTACTCACTTCCATGACTGGACTCTCTGTGTTTGGCAACCGGCTTTGGGGTGCGGGTCTCTTTTCAAGGAGGAAGGGCGGGAGAGGGGATATGGGAGGATGATCTAGTGATCCCTCCCCCACCAGAGACAAGCTGCGGCGGACAGCGGGAGGCAAATGGCAGATGGAACAAAGAGCACACCCACACCCACATACACACAGATGTATGGAAGGGCACACTCACCTCCCCAAAACTGGTCCTGACAGCATCAAGCGCCGACGCCGGCCCCCCCCCTCTCGAAGGAACAGCCGCCGGCTGATTTTGGCACAATAGCGCCGGAAGCGCGCCAACGCACCATCACTGAAGAAGTTGTCGCGCAGGGGCTCGACATCCTTCTGTTCAAGCGCCTGATTGAGGTCCAGAGGGTCCCCGGTCAGCGGCGGCGTCGACAGGGTGATGGCCATCGTGTCAGGCGGGGGCGAGTATTCCGCCGGGAAGGGGGCATCATGCCGGACTGATGTTTCCAGGTAGTGTGCCAGAGGCGATGGCACATCGGCGATCTTAAATTCGGTGAAGATCTGAAGGGGACAGGAGGGAAGGCCAGGTGAGCATAGGAAGAGGCATAGAAAGGGGCAGAGGAAGAGGGGACAGAGAGAGAGAGAGAGGGAGAGAGGGAGGAGAAAGGACAAGAGGAGACATGTGCCGGGTGTCCCCCGGCCCCGGAGCAGGTCAGAAGACGCACCTCATCCAAGTGCTCCTCCGCAAAGTACACCAGCATATAGGCGGTGGTTGTCTGGCGGCAGACTGGACCGGGGGGGGGGCCGTCCATAGAAGAAAAGACGTCAGTGGCCACATACACGAAGAAAAGGACCCAAGAGGAGGGACGCCTGTGCCGACATGTTGTACCCTGCTGGTTGGAGCCAAAGCTGTCCCGCGTGACGAGCGAGTAGTCGACCGGGTTCACTTCGTCATCATTGAACTGATACCACAGGCCGTTCTTCCTCGGCCGAAGGAAGGAAAAGTAGTGACCGAGGTTGACGGTTCCCTCGTGCACCAGTACTCCGTACAGGTGGTAGATCTTGCTCTGTGGCATTTTGTCAAGAGAGGCGCACAGGAGACCGAGGCAGGATTAGTCTTGGTCCTTGAGGGATATCGGCTTTTTGAGGCTCGAAAGTGCCGCCCCCGCGCTGCCACCGCCACCACCCCGCGCGCCCTCTTGAGGAGCAGCAAGCGCATGCGTACCTGGCTCCGGCCGTGCTCATCCTTCTCCATGTACGGGCCGAGATCGATGGTGTCTGGGAACTCGAAGTGCGAGGTGACCTTGACATTGTTGCCAGTGTGAATGTCATACTCGTAGCGCTTCAGCTGCAGATGCAGCACCGGGGGGAATTTCGTGAAGATAACCCCCTTGGTGGCAGCCTGCAGGCCAAACCCATCGGCATTGTAGGCATTCTCGCCGTCCAGCCGCTCTTCCGAGATGTACTGCTCGAAGGAGCGCTCAAGATTTGGCAGCCCCTGGACATTCAGTTGGATATCTGCGCGTATACATGGAGATGATGGTCGCGTGGAGGGAAAAATAGATACATAGCCACAGTTGGAAGCCATGTTGATGGTGAGTGCACATGTGGCCAGGGGATGATCCTCTCGCAAGTGGGCTCGAGCGCAGGGGCAAAATGCGGGACGTGGCAGCCGAAGGGGCACGCACCGAAGAAGGTTTCCGTTCGAGAGGACTCGTACTCCACATTCAGGCAGCGAATGTAGCTCTTGTACTCGCCCTCGAGCAGCTGGTTCAGGCGTCCTTCCACGGAGGTGCCCTTTGTGCAGCGTGGCATTCACATGCGGAGGTTCACCAAGGGCGTTAGCCACAAAGACACGGCCAGTTGTCCGACAAGGCGCGGCGAGCGTACCTTCATGCCGGTCTCCAGGTTGTCACAGAGGATTCGATTGAACTCTTGGACGTCATGCTGCTGGAAGGACTGTTGGACATCCCAGCCGAAGGACCGTGTCAGGCGCTGCGTGTCCACCGGCAGGCGCCGGCAGTTGGGGCCAGCATCCCGAGCGAGCATCATCTCGAAGAAGAGCCGCTGCAGAGACAGAGGGATCGTTTGGCTCGGCTGGTCGGTCCCGTCGGCCGGGTTGGCACGCAGTGGAATTTGAAAGAGAGCCTGAAGAAGAGAGGACGTGGATGTCAGATCGGGGAGAGGGGGGAACCGTGAGCGAGGCACATGGTGCCAGGAAAGGGCAGGGGGGGGGG